CCAAAAATTACAATATTTATTTTATAAGGGCTTTTCCGTGCCCTTAATATAGAGTAAAATAAAGGTAAAAAAGGCAAATATCTTAAAAAGTCAAAAAAGTCAAATGTATATGAAATCAGGGAAAGCTAAATTGAAGACATTCTTTATCGAATATACTTTATCTCTTTAGCAGAAAAAAGGCAATTTCCATAAAATCCGTTCCCTGTTTATAACATTACATATTTCACTTTTAGAGATGAATCAATTCCAAAGTGACTTAATGTCAATTGGCATTATTTCAATTTTGGCCTGTATATTATTTTCATTAACATTATTTCACTTTTGGCCTATGTGTTAATGTCTTTGACATTAATTCCATTGACATTATTTCACGTCACCACATATATTGAAGTTGCGATTGTTCAATTTTCTTGTATATTTTTAATTCATTCGCTGCATGGAAAATATCGATTTTTATATACGATACGTCGATGCAAAATTTCATTGCATCAGATCGAAAAACCGTCGATGTATTTTGTTGACTAGCCTCCCTAAGGTGGTCGCCACGCAATGAGCAGCAAAGCGGCGAGCGGCTGAGCGGCGCCATACAAAAATGCCGCTCAGCCGCTCAGAAATGCCGCTCATTGCGTGGCCCCGGCCTAAGGCAAATATGGTACCACACACAGTGATGCCAAATTTAGTCAGAAGGAAAAAAGTTACAGAGTTGTTTTTTTGCAAATTAAGACAAAATTCGATATTTTTCTAGAAAAATTCGATTTTATCCGAATTTTAGCACCAGGGTCATTCCATTGAAAAGAGGAAAACGACCCTAATTATCTCTATTTCAGTAGTAACCTCTTTTTAAATGACTGCATTTCATTAGCCTGCGGGAAAGTGTAAACAAAAAATCAAAAGAAGTTGTAATTTTTGCCTATGGAAACTTTTATTTCATGCATAATTAGTTTACACTACCCTGCAGGAAATGTGTCTAACTATAAGCTAACTTTATGTTGATTAGGAAGGAGCTGAAAGTCGCTTATTATCTGTATATTTTCTTTGACGAAAGCTAACTATATTTCTATGGCGATGGCCTCGAAATAGTCAAGGGTGGTTACCTCTGCATTAGATGTAGTCAAGGGTGGTTACCTCTGCATTTGATGCAAATAACTTGTAACTAACTTCTTTTGGACGTAAAATATCAATATAAAAAACTAAATATTTTGTTATTTATTTTTTTATTTATTTTTCTTTTATTTATTTTATAACATTTCACATTTGTTTCTATATTCTGCTGTAGGTGATCCCATATTAGAACTACGTCAGACATATGTAACTTCAAAATGATAATATGAAATTTCGATCTCCCTTTTATTTGTACTCAATTCGAAATAGTATTTGCGAAGTGCAGGATATTTAAATTTAAACGCGTTTAAAGAAAACAATCTCGAGCTTTACTCCTGCATTACTTGTCCACTTGTTTCAAGTTAGCTTTTTGTAGCTAACCACAAGTTATATATTTTATAGAAATCCCGCAAAAAAGCTGACTACAAGTAGGTTATTTTTTATCAATTGATAATTTTTTTCTGCAGGGTAGTCACAAGGAGATGTCCCACCAGTCACAAATTTTTATTTTTTATTTCTGCGAAGATTATATAAACCTCATTTTTATTGAAAACGAAAGCGTATAATTCATATCCCAGCAAACAATTATGTTTGATATAGATTTGAGAATGATTTGAAATCAAAGCCCTTTCTCAAATGTCAAACGTTTAAACGTGATTTGATATTGATTTGAAAATAACAGCTTTCTCAATAAAAAGGGGAGCTTAATCTCCATTTGAGAATATGGTTTGTTTAGGCCTTCATGCAAAACCAAATGATTTAAAGGTCGAACCACCCTAATGTAAAAGTGCATTGACTTGAGCCGACCACACAAACATACTCAGGCATATATACGGCCTACCTTTATTGCTACCTCGTTAGCAATAAATGTATTATTTCCCTTGTAACATACTTTCGTTAAGTTTCCCCTCCGAGCAGTTGGCTGCCGGCGGGTAAACTTAACTTTGTCAAAGCGGGACCTTTTCACTTCTTTCGAGCTATCAAGGAGACCGGACGACTTCAGCCATCACCCAGCGATACATATTAAAAGGTAATCACATTGTACACCCACTGATTTATTTGATAATAAAGCCACTTGAAATTCAAGCTATTATACACTAATACACTTGGTTGTGTTTTTTCCATTTTCTTTTTTTCAATTGACATTGGTGCCACTGTGGGAGTTGCGACCCATTGGTTCACCGATCGTTCATGGTTAAGGTGCATTTACGTGGTATGAATCTGTTCATAAGCCGTATGAATTGTCCTATAAAAGAAGCACCAACTCTATAAAGAAATGAATGAAAGCGATATATATTTAACATTTTTGACTTATATACTTGGCAAGTATTTTTTTTGTAAACAACAAACAAAAAAATTTCATTTTGTGCTAACTTCGAAACTAGAAGCTTATTTTATTTTTAATGTGCTTTAAAAAGAACCTACTGCCAATAAAGCCTTGCGGTTTGCTATTTTTTCAAATGCTTCCATTCAAACATCTTTGTGGATAAACAGTTTTTTGTTCAGAAATTGCTTGTTTACGTTTTTTGTCTTTCATATTAAAAACGTTTGGCATAAGTTGAAATCATAGGGATGCCGTTTTCTTTCGTTTCTCAATGCATTTTATACTTGAAAAGGCACCAAAATATGTATGCAATACTTTTACATATCGTCATTTAAAGTACAAAACCGCGCATCAAGAAAATGCAAAACCTTGTATGTGAGGTTGCCTAATTTTATACTAAAACTAAAATTTGTCATAATTCAAAACGGTTCCCTCTTTTAAACTTAATTATCTCTTCTTATGTCTAAGTATCGAAATTTTAGTATAAATGATTAAGGGATTGATGGTAGGAGCTTCCGGTGCGCAAATATCTTTTTTTGGCACAAATGTCAGTTACGAGGTTTTGCAGAACCACGATACGCGATTTTTTACTTTAAACGACGATATACAGATTGGCGCTTGCACAATATGTTAGTGTTTGGTCTAGCTTCTCCTCCCATATGGGGCGTGCACCTTGATTTTGTCACACAAAGGGGAAGGGCAGTTTTACGCCGACTCCGAACGGCAGTTGTATTTTTATGAGAAGCTGTTTTCATGACAGAATACACTCGGAGGTTTACTATTACCAATAGAGGAACGACAGCGAACAGCGGAGTGTATATATCGATGGCTGAGTGGAAGATCGACCTATCTCGGCAGCCAGTTCGAAAACGCGCTATTTCAGAAAACTTTTCAACCTACTTCAGAATTTTATTGAAAAACACTCTATCTCAGAATTTGGTTGAATAACGCCCTAATTCATAATCCGGTTCAAAAACGCCCTATCTCATACGAAAATACATTGAAAATAAGCTGAGATAGGGCGTTTTTGAGTCGTCAGCTAAGATAGGGTGTTTTCAATCAAATTCTGAAGTAGGGCATTCTTGAAAAGTTTTCTGAGATAGGGCGTTGTTGAAAATTTTTCTGAGATAGGGCGTTTTCGAACTGGCTGCTGATAGGTCGATCTTCCACTCAGCTATCGATATGTAATATAAAAAATAATGAGAGGTACTATAAGAAAATGTACCCAAAATTCAGGAGCAAATGAAAAAATGCTCATTGAAAATAACTCACATGTATAAATTAAATAATATAACTTAAGCGGTTACAGCGCTAAACAAAAGTAAGAGTTAGAAAAAATAGCAATGCGGTTTGAAGGAAACATAAGACCACAAAATGTTTGTTTGTTTCGTTAATTCTCCCAACCTTTTAAGATGTGACACTCCATTCTTTGTAAAAGCCAGAAAGAAGCATCAACTGTATGAAAAAATGAAAGGGAGAAGTATACATACCTTCTATAATTTTGACTTATATGTATATTTGGCAAGTCTTTTTGTAAACAACAAAAAATACACATTTTCATTTCTTTGAAAGCTTGGAAAATATAGGCTTATTTTTACTTAAATGTGATATAAAGCTCATCATGTTGTGTAATGTCTTGTTATCATAGTGCTTTGTATTTTCATTGTCCACCATACGTGAATCGTTTCTATGGAAAAAGATCTAGTACAATGATTTTTTATTGTTTTGAAATTGTTTGTTTATTGTTTTTAATTTTTAAAATTCCTACATTTGACATGTATGTGAATGGCGGAGTTGCCGCTTTCCTCCTTTTCGGTGGGTTTTATATTAAAAAAGGCATCAAAATGGGAAAAAACCTCCTTGGTATCTCTGCATCTGTTAAACTTTTTATGGGAAGATGTATGAAAATCCAACTTGCTCTAATTTCATATGCTTAACAGTATCACAACAGTATGTTTACAGTATCTCCCCATAATTTTTCATATGAAAAAATCTATTATATGCATCCCTCATTTTAAAATTGTTAAATTGGTTCGTAAGATATACGTGATTAAGTGGAACCACTTTTTGTTTTAAGCTGAATAACGATAAATGGCAAATATCTCGAAAACGTATCCATAGAAAAAAAAAGAAACTCGATTTTCGGAATCACCGACCAATTCTACAGAGACATTGAATAGTGGCATCCATTGAACATTTTTGCTGTAAACCAGTGTTATCGTAATATTGAAGCCTTGTTGCATTTTAGATTATATGTTGCTAGTGACTAATACCGATTGGCAAAATTTAGCTAATCGAAAGCGTGATATAGGTAAAGTCGCCAAAACTTTTGCGTGTTTGTTGAAGTGTACATAAAAATGTTTCTAAATTTTTTTGTGTAAGAAGCGTCATTTGACGGTTTCTTTGTTTTACGCTCGCAGTTTGAGCTTAGCCGAGTTTTTCTTCGAGTAGCTCTTGAAACAAACCTATTATGAGATTTGAAGTTTTTAACATTTTACATTATCTATTACATAATATTGATTTATTATAAATATTGTCATTAATTGGTTTTTCTCATTCTACCCTCTTGTTTCAGGCCTTGCCAGATTGCCTTCCAAAAATTACAATATTTATTTTATAAAATATCTTCCAAGTCCTTAGTATTTTAAATACAACGGACATTCGTGATTTTAATAGAGCATAAATGCACATTTAATTTGCATAGTAATAATTGGATCGAGGAGCAATTAATGTAGAATAAGATGCAATCAAAAATATGCTGTTAACGCTTTAAGAAAAGACGCATTATTTTATATAAATATTAGGAACAAATTCAATTTGTTTGCCAGTCAAACTTACAGATTGCTAAAAGGGGAAAACAAAAAGTGGCATGAGCCATTCATCAGGATACCGGAAATATGATGATAATGAGTGTAGTGGGCCTAGACCACCTGTACCCGGAGAAGAAAGTCGAGCTAAAAAGGTAAATAATTTAACAAAGATTAACGACCTACATGCATAATTCTTATTTTTACCCACTGATTTCTAAACAAGTACGTGTGTTTGATTAATTTTTGAATTCCAGATGACCGAAGGGGTGGCTGACAATTCCCGAAACTCACCACCGTCATATTTGAATTGGGCCCGAACACTTCATCATCTTCTGGAAGATCGTGATGGTGTAGAACTATTTAAAAAATATGTTGAAGAAGAAGCACCTGGGTATAATGATCATTTAAATTTTTATTTCGCCTGTGAAGGTTTAAAACAACAAACTGATCCAGAAAAAATCAAACAGATAATAGGAGCGATATATCGGTAATAAAATGCTATTTATGATTTGTGAAAATTGTATGCAATATTTTCATATTTAAAGGTTCCTACGAAAAAGTCAGCTGTCAATACCTGAAGACTTGCGTCGAACAATAAAAGCAGGTCTTAAAAATGAAGTCCCGCTCACTCCGGACGTATACGATTCAATGCAGCAACATGTGGAGGCCACCATACGTGACAACATTTATCCTAGCTTCCTGTGTTCAGAAATGTATATTTTGTATATTCAACAAATGTCCGTTTCACATGAGCGTTTTGGGAGCGGTATGGCTGGTTCCGGCAGTGGAAGCAGTAGCGGTGCTAGTTGTGGAAGTAGTGGGGTAGGAATTGCATCGACCAGTGGAGCTTGTGCGCTACTCTTGAGTTCTGGGAAAACAGCTTCGTCGGTAGCGCCTCTAATTAATTTGCCAATTAACGCTTCTGGAACTAATGCACTTCTTGGAGGTACTTGTAGTGCAAGTGGAAGCGTCTATGGTCCTTCAACTTCAGCCAGCTCAAGTGGTTCTGTTAGCGCAACAGATACGCTTCCGCGCAGCTCCACATTGCCAACCCTTCATGAAGATTCGGAGTTGTCGCTTTGTGATGATCTGGAGAGATTACGTGTGGAATGCGGTCGAATACCAGGAGATATGCCGATACGTCTTACCCACGATCTACTTTTAGCAACTCAAAAGAGAAGACTGGAAATACGACCCCCTGGGTAATTTTCTAATTGCTTATACTGATTAAATATTTGATTCTGGTTAGCAACTTTATCTTTTAAAAATATATACATGTTTTTTGCTTTAAGCTGCTTAATCTCCGGCGAATAACATTATACATAATACAAATTTTCTAAACGAGACTATACTCATTATTTAAAGAAACAAATTATTCAGCAGCAGAGTTAGAACTACTGAAAAGGCTCAGTTAGTCTAGACTTAATTTTCGCAACTTAACTTAATATTTTTGCCAACTTGTTATATGAGAAACTGTGTTGGCGGTTTGCTAAAACTTAACTTACCGTAAGAAACTCTAGATTTCTTAATTGATGGCCTAACGTAAATTGATAGCAGTGAGAGAATCAGGCTTGCCAGATTTTCATTTTTGTATTTCTTAAAAGTAAACAATTTTTTTGGATACATTTTTTATATGTGGCATTATGGGCGGTAAACTATGAAACTTTTCGCTTCTAGCTGATGTTGACGTGTTGAGTAATCATTGACGATTTCTTACGATGAGTTAAATTTAGTTTACTTTAGATTAACTGAGCGAGAACGAGAAAAATTTTGTACATTCGATATACATATAGATGTGTATATATATATAGATGTGGATTATATAACTAATAGCGTTTTCTTTTCTCGAAATATTGTTGCATTTATTCGGCCCTTAGTCAGGACTGCCAAGTTTTCGTATTCTTTTCTCAGCATCTTCACATGCATATTGCGTGCTCTTTCCTTAAAGTGTTGCACTCTGATAATGTTGCCATATAAGGTGAGATTTTTTTCGAGAAAAGAAAGCGCCATAATACAGAACAGAATTGACTTACTTACGAATATACATACATATGTATGTACATTAGGGTGGTCAAAAAAAAAAAAAATAAAGTCGGAGTTTTAACGTCGGCACACCCTAAGATTGAACTATATCGAAAAAAATATACTCCAATTTTTTTATTTTGAAATCAAAAAATATTTAGGGAGTGCTCAAAGCGCTCAAAGTTTTCCATGTATTTTATATAGAGAAAAAACAACTTTTCGTTGAAATAGTGTAGAATTCTTGAAAGTCAATATTTTTCGATCGGAAAAACTTTACTTATCTTCAGAGGACTCCCAGTAATAATACCCAATTGTTTTTTTTAACAACTTTTTCATGGTAACTATATTTTATAGGTCCTCCAAAGCCCTTAGAAAATGCAATGGGGGGGGGGGGCAATAAAAAATCTTTTATCATAAAAAATGGTTAAATAAACAATTGGATATTAATACTGGAAGTCTCCTGAAGAGAACCACAGTTTTCCGGTCGAAAAATATTGATTTTCAAGAGTTTTATACCATTTCTACGAAAAATTGTTTTTTCCAAGGAATGAAACCGAAACCGAAACCGTAACCGTTATCTTGACCTGAAAAGGAACGATACCGAAACCATTTCAATCACAGGTTTCAATCGGTTTCCAGAAATTTACAAAAATAATAAATACAAATTTCTTTGAAATAAATGATTTATTTAACCAAAATCGGCAAGATTTTGCTAAAATTCTTGTTAAGTAGTAAATAAGTATGGAAAGGTAACTTTTCGCAAAAATCTGCTGATGACTTTGTTGTTGTGAATCGATAATCGATTAATTATATTTAAGTAGTTTCTTTCCCGTACGCAATGCGAGATCCCGCGTGTGCCCAAAATAGCCCAGAAATCATGCCTGTACTCAACAAAATGGGTAATAGAGAGCGAAAATTCGAGCGTATTCGATCGTAAAGGCACTGGCCCAATGCAGGCTTGCTTTGCTTGCTTCGCTCCGAGAAGTGTCAAAAATTATTTGGAATATACTAAAATGTATAAAGGCTGGCCAAATGGGAGCTTTTCTTCACTTGCTTTAAGTGCATCAAAGTTTTAAATAGACAAATGTTTTATTTGAAAGCGTTTTGTAGGCTTTTGACAAAGAGGCATGTTCCTGTTCAAAATACATAAATTCAAACAAAAATTGGCTTACTTAATTTAAAAAAAGTAATTCGAAATGAAATTTAACATATCGTTATATTATAGTAAAAAATTGCAAAGCTCACTTTTACAAATTTTACAAGGGAAGAAAAACTTCTTATAGCTCTTTTCTTTAAGTAAATCGCTTTTCTAAGTTATAGTTTTTTTAGTAAATGTAGATATACATATGTATGTATCATTATTACCATTTCTTTTAAATACAAACATTATTTCGCAGGGAACAGACATTGACTTTTCCACCACACAGCTGATTACTTTGACAGCGTTTCAAGCCGCCATTCGACCAAACAAGTTTTCAAACTAAATCAAAGCAAACTAAAGTCAGCAAGGCACGCAAAGCAAGCCTGCATTGGGCCAGCGCCTTAAGTGTATTCTTCTTCCTGCCCGAAATAGCCCGAAATTTTCTCCGAGTAAAAATGGATAAAGTGTCAAAGTGCATATCAGCTGTATTGTGTTTACATGTTGCCTGCATTTACTTGGTGCTTTTAAGGAAAAGTGAATGGCCTGTTGATGTATTTTCAATCTATGTACTTAAAATCAAATTTGTGAAACCAAAATTCAATTTCCAAGTGTTTGCATTTAATACCATGTTCTGACCGACAACCAAAACATTTTTCCTTCATTTTCTTTTCATTTACAACCTTTAACTTTCATTCTTATTTTGCTTTGGCCAGGCAATTAACAATAAATCCGAAATGGCGTATTAAAGATGATAAAATATGACTTCCACTTCGATAAATAATCGAAAAAAAAAGTTTTAGCAACGAAAACATGTTTCCGATGTCGGTCAGAACATGGTATAAGTGACAAAAACAAGAACAACGTGAATCAGCTGTTTCTCGACTTGTGGGCACGAAATGTGGGTTTTTGCGTTTCCGTACTTCTGAACTTTGTTCCATTTTTGAAAGAAAATGTTTCTCTTATTCTCTAATTACCAAATCCGGTCCGGATTGTTAGGGAAAGAACCTAGTGTTGATATTATCAGTGAACTGTAATTTTCGATTTTCTTTCCTCAACGTTTAAGACATTGTGATTTAAATAATATCAACAAAATTTCTGTGAAAAACCGAAACCGGAACGAAACCGAAACCAAAACCGAAATAAATTTTGAAGAACGAAACCAAAACCGAAACCGAAACACTTGGCAAAACCGAAACCCAAACCGGAACGTTATTTTGAATCGGTTTCATTTCTTGGTTTTTTCTCCATATAAAATACATGGAAAACTTTGTGCGCTTTGAGCACTCCCTAAATATTTTTTGATTTCAAAATAAAAAAATATGGGTATATTTTTTTCGGTATATAACAATCCTAGGGGGTGGCGGCATTAAAAATACGACCTTATTTTTTTACATACATTTTTGGACCACTTTAAGTACATACGATCGTGGCAAGGTTCTAAAGGTGAAATTAGTCAAGAACGTAGAACTTATACTTAAACGCTGACTGTATACGCAGAATTTTGTCGATTACTGGAGCCCTCAGTGTTGCTTACTACAGTGTTGTCACTCATCAATTCCTTTTCATAAACTAACCTTTTCAACTAGAATTTTTCGTGCTATAATAGATGCTAGCTAAATATAAACTACATATTTTTCAACAAAAACCTTATTCGATAGTCAATTTCAAATATTTTAAACGTATTTTGAAAACGAACTTATAACTTTTTTACCATCTGCAAAACTGACGAAGTGGCAACCATCTACAGAAGGGAGAAATCAGCTCACACGGAAATATCTAAATCTCGCAGATTTTTGCGCTACGGGCTACAACTACAGAAAAATTCTGCGGTGTTGAGTTTTCATTTACATGGCTCCCTGGGCTCATTCCACGGTGACGGGTGTGACATTTCAACTCACATTTTAAGGCTTAATTCTTAAACTGTAATACAAAATTCTTTAAAACGAGTATTTTGTAATAGGTTTCCGAGATATACACAATGCCTAGAATAAAAATTTCAAAAACAATTTAATCCGAACGAGTTATCTGAATTTTAGCCACTGTGACGGGTGTGACGAGTACTCAAACAAAATTAGCTACTCCTTACTTTCATCAGAGTTTTTCTGCTAATTATGTCTTCTGCTTATGGTTTTAAATAGTTCGTTGTATAGTTAAATAAACATTTTCAACATTTACGCCAAAGTTGCTTACCGCTATTGGAAATTATAGATTATGTGTTCCAAACTTTACTGTGACGGGTGTGACTTGACTTTGTGACGGGTGTGACAAGTTGAGCATGAATACATAAATACACATTATTAGATAACTAAGCTAACTTTATTTCTCAAAAAATCGGATTTTACGAACACATACAAGATTCTGCCACCTAAAGACGCGATAATCCTTGATCGGACTCTTCTTCTCCATGGTATGCCTTAGTAATTGTAAAGTACGTTATTTTTAAATAGTATGAGCCTATTACCTGTCAAACCGCGGCCGTTACCTGTAAAAACCGTTTTAGATACTTTTTTTTGCCCTGACAAGCGAAGTAATGGTTTCTTTTTATCCGTGGCAGCATAGCTTAAGTTTTCCCATCGCTCGAGCAACATATCTTTATGATTAGCTTTATCATCGCTGATCACAAACAGATATATGACACATTTCAGATTAGCAGATAAGTAACGGTAGCAGTCCCTGGCCGAATTTATTGAAGTTTGTCAAACTTTAAATTGTGACGGGTGTGATATGTGACGGGCGTGACCAACATAATCGGTTCTTTTTTCGAAAATAAAAGCATATAAATACTTAAGAGCAGTTCGCACATACTTCCCTGTGTCATGGAGTTACTTTCGTCAGCTTTTTTACACTGTCCAATATGTGTTTTCCTTCAAAAAATAACTATTTTGTGTATTTTGTGACGGGTGTGACATTAAAATATGCTTTGCTTCAATATATAATAAAATATTTAGTACTTGCCCGAAAAATTTGAAAATTACGTTACAATGCTAACGAATTTTTCTCTCCACTGACGGCTTAAACAATGCAAAAAAGATAATAGACTACGAAAATCAGTCTTGTAAATTTTGAAAAAAATTAACCTCATGGGTTTGCAAATGGTACAATATAAAGTAAAAAAATATCTGATTTTGAGATAAATTTCAGAATTTTGGCTTTCAGTCTTGAAAGTTAGATATAGTTACTCTTACTTACTAGAAATAATACAGTCACATTCTTTAGTTTATTTTCGTTTCATTCGGATCGATTACCGTGGAATGAGCCAGGGGTAAAACAGATCGTGTCAGTTATCTCGAGTTTACGTACCGGTAGATTTACGTTCTTGACTAATTTCGCCTTAAAACTGACGGGAAGAGAACTGAGAATATGTCGGTTTGATTCGGTGGCAAGTTTCGGCTAGCTTATTTCAGCATACCAGGAAGCAATAAGATCTAAGTTCCGATCTATTCTAGTATGGATTTTGTGCGGTGAAATAATCTACCCACATACAACTAGTCTGTTGAAGGCCCTTTTAGTGTTTCTAAAAAATATCCAAATAGATTCATTTTTCTAGGGATAGACAGAACTGGTCGGTTCTTTGGTATTATATCGGGAAACTAGCTCACCACGAAGAAATCGCAGGACTTTTTTTATTTAGTTAAGAGCCTCATTCAGTTGCAACCCAGTGTCAAAAGAACATTCAACACGGTTAAAATTTCCTATTAGCTAATATGCACAAACATTATATAAAATTATTAGTTATACAGAATATTTGCGTAATATACAGATGCGTGCAACTAATTAGCAACGAAATTCAAAACGATATTGCTTGCAAATTACACCCCTCCACAAAAAAAAATTCTAAAAAATCAACGGTAATGTTCAGCGACTTGAAACTTGCACCTTATTATACTAAAATTGAATGGGCTACAAAACTGCATACCCGAAAATTTTCTAAATAGTCTAATTAAAAATGTTGAAATTTTGATGACAATTTTTTGAAGTTTGATTAATTTTTTTTGCAATTTGTGCAAGCTCTGCAACTTTTGTTATTGTGGTTTCTGATATAGATTGAATTGTATTTTAAATGAAAATTTTTAAAAATAAATAAATAAACATAATTTGCAAGCAATATCGTTTTGAATTTCGTTGCTAATTAGTTGCACGCATCTGTATATTTGTTTCAAAGTATCAGAACTAATTCACAACAGTGTAGTTTTTTCCTTTTCAGTGTAATGCATCAGGTTGCTTATTTCTTAAGCGACCTTAACTCGGATAAAAAATCGATTTTATTTTTCGTGTATTTCTTATAATCATCTAGAAAGAAGATCTTAGAAAAAGAGCAAAATATCGAGCCCTAACCGCCAAAACAACGTAAGCGACATTTTTTTCAAAATTTTCATTTTGATGCAGAAATGCATGTAGATGCTCTAGGAATATTTCTGCATCAAAAAGAAAATTTTGAAAAAAATTTACGTTATTTTGGCGGTTAGGGTTCGATATTATGTAAGTAAATCGCTTCAATGCACAGTGTGGCGACTAGGAGAAGGTAGGTGGACAAAAGTCAATGCTAAATTTCAATATAATATCGGTGCCTTTGCACGAGCAATACTCCAAAAGTATCATCAATGCAATTTTATTATTTTTGTAAAATATCAGTAAATAAGCAGTAGTTAGCCGTTAAAGTTGGTTTATCAGCTGAAGTTGCTTATTTACGGAAACTGATCCAAATAGAACATCATTTGAAATGAAGTTTTTTATTGGCTTGAAATGGTATTTTGCCAGTTTTTTTGAATGAAGGTGAAAATTTAAGGGTTTTACTGATATCTTATTTTCAATTTGTGACATTGAACTAGAATTCGTATGGAGAATTTATAGACAGTAGTTGATTCGTAAAAATATTTATCTTTTTTTATTTTTTCACCTTTGATAGAGTTGAAAACATTTTATTTGACAACGTATGGCACAAATCGGAGTTTAATATATATGGATAATTTCTAGTTTGATATTTTATAAAAAATATATGTATTGATGCTATTTTCATGCCTTTTAATGAATCCTATTATAAGCCCATGTAACGCTTACAACTATTAAAAATATATATATTACCAAAAGGCGTGTTTGCTATCAGTAAGTGGGAACTAAACAAAGAGTGCTTCAAAGTGAACAGAGAAACTTGTTAGTAATAACGGTACATTTGAGAGAGCAATACTCCCACAGTGTCATAAATGCAAATTGTTTTCCTAGAATATCAGTAAACAAACAGTTGTTAGCCTTGAAAGCTGCAGCTGTGTATTTACTAAAACCGATTGAAGTAGAACATCTTGCGAAAGGAAGTCCAGCCCTATCTTCGGCCTATGAAGGGTTGCAAGAAATTATTAATAAAATAAAAGATGTTTATTTGGAAATTTCTTTCCTAGCCATGAGGTAGTAGAAAACGTGATTTTGCCACAGTCAGAAGAGGCTTAATAACCTAGAAGTAAGAATTGCAGAAGGTATCGGCTACAGAATGCTAGAAAGTGTTCGCCTGTAGCTACTAACGAAGATCTGTTATGAATGATTTTGATTGCGTCAGATTCTCTCATAAATAATTTGGGAAATGTATCAAAAATAACTTCTCAATATTTCCTGAGGAAGCACTCAAATTACCTATAGCACCACGAATTATAAATAGCATACAATTTAAAAATGAACAATACGAAGAAGGTTATGAAGATTCAGAAAGTGAGCAAGATGGTGGGTACCTGCTACTATTTCCGAATTCTGAGAATGAACCTTTCAATTGCGGTTACATTTTTATGTTTTAATGAGTTCTCCATATAATTTTTATTTTAAGTTTAAAGCATGTACAGTTTTCTAAATTTTTCGAAATTTGTATATGTATACATACATATTATGAATTAAAATCGCTACTTTTCAAACTAACTTTTGTTTTGGTAATTTTGAGAGAAAGTGTTAATGAAACAAAAAGTTTTGAAAAGTTTTGCTCTTTTTTAATTTGATCCCAGAAAAAATTTGTTTCTTGAAGCCATAAGATATTTTAAAATATGTATATAAAAAAATATCGTTTAAATTCTCTTTCTCAAAAATATTTATTTGGCCTTGTAGCTGTAGTATTTTAAAACGTATACCACAAATCATAAAATACTCTTTTTAAACATAATTTAACACTTTCTGGGTCAACAGTATATTACCGACCCCGGTCCTAGACATTTTTTTTTAGTTTCGACCTTATCTATCTAAAACACTAATAAAATAATTTTACCCAGCTAGCTTCTTCTAGTCGCCACACTGTGCAATGGTTGGCTTTAATATGACTGGTTGCTGCTAATGAAATGTTGCGAAATTCGCATGTTTTATTCGGTACCCTAGAAATTTAAAAGAGCATGATACTTAACCGTGGTAATCAAGTATATTTTGTTTCTATTTATTTTTTTTTTGCTATTGCTATTTGGAACATATATACATAAATAAGAAATAAAGCCTATTTTAACATACTCTAGTATGTATATTTTTTTCAGTACATACAACTGTTTTTTTCTAATGTATAATTTTTATGTTTATTTTCATTTATGTTCATCATGAATTGTAATCCACAAATATGCTTCATCACAACAACCAACCAATGATCCATCTGGCATGATTCCTTTCGCTACACGTCGAACACATGATGCTGTTCCTGTATTATATTTACACTCTGGTCCCTACACATTATATTAATTTTTATTTTTTCATTTATATTATATATGTTTTGTACACGATGTAAATGCAAATATTGCATGGATATGATATTGATCTTTATACCAACTCATCCTGCATGCGAATAGTGCTCATGGGTATGTATACCGTGCGAGTGCAAATACTTCTTACGTTCCGAATTCTCGTGTTGATTCGGAAAGGGCGAGCGTAAGTTCCGGTGGCCGAACTGATTCTGATACGATGTCCCTTTCTAGTTGTTCTATGTAAGTATATATATAGTTCCATAAATAATGTAGTTACGATCGGTAGGTCTGGTTGAGTAACTCACGAAACTGTATTTAATTTTTTTACTTATTTTTATATAAAAACCATTATCGTAACACTCTTACTAAACAATTATAGCTCAGCTAATAAAAAAAATGCAGTGTGGCTTTAGAAAGAAAAATGTTTTCTTTTAAAGAAATAACAATTTGTGCAAATACACCCTTTACTTGTGGAATTTTACGAAATAAGTTTTAAATATTTTAATTTCGACTTATTTTATCATTTTATTTTATCTTTATGGAAGGTTATAACTAGGGCTCGGAATCCCATACAAATGCATGCTTTTATTGGGCATATTCAAATGGAAAAGGTTAAGTTATCTTTCCGAATCGTGAAATTTCCTTTAAAATGGCATTCAATCGTTAGTGCATATTTCGCAGAAATTGCATGGCTTTGTATATTTCTTAAAAAATACTGTTTTTGCATATTTATTGCGCATATTTTAGTATATTTTACAATAAATGCCTTTGGTTTTTGCATATTTTTGCCGTTTTTGATTTAAAACCATATAAAATTAGTGCGACATCTCTTGACAAAAAAACAATTACCTCGAGACATTTACGGAAACGAGGCAGCGGACGAACTAGCAAGACGTGTCCCACGCGGTTGGCAAGGGCGCCTCGCTCAGGCAGATAAAAGAAAAAATTACCGAAATTTATCACACGAAGGCCAAGCAGAGGTGGAACCGTGTGCTATGACTACGGTGACCATTCGTACCGATTTTGGCGGGACAGTACCGATTTTGTGAAAATTGTCCCGCGGAATATTTTTTAAAAGTCGGGACGTATAAGAGTCCCGATTTTTTATATTCATACCGTTAAATCCCTATTTTCAGTGTTTTCTTGCTCTAACAAAAACAGAGAATCTGTGAGCTTATTTGCATAACGAAAAACAAGCTTATAATGCTCCTAAACCGCACAAAATCATTGCGCAACCCGAGACTTGTACATGCCAATATTGTGGAAATTACTACACAATAATATTGCGCAAACATTATTTTGGAGAAACGTTGCTCAAGTAAATATGTTCAAGAAATGTAAATGTGTGTTGTATATTTTGATAGCTTCAGCTTGAAAACGCAAAAAAAAGATTAAAAAGTTTTGTATTTTATTCTACGCTCTTGTCCATATTTTACAATACGATCTGGACACCAAAATGTCACAACTAGACACAGTTGTCGCCACACGCAACACAAATTATTGTACAATAACACAAGCATGAGCAAAATATCAAAATGATTTTGATTTTAGCGCAATAACTGTGCAATTTAGTACAAACAACCCCGCACACGAAACAAACGACCGACGCAAGCTTGATATTGCGCAATGTTTTTTTTTTTTTTGTGGTTTAAGGATCCTGGAATAGCGGCGCATGCAAAGAAATTCCGGAAACTAGTACATAATATTTATTATTTATAGTTTTCAAAACCTCCCATCTGCCAGCCATGGTATCAAAATGGGGCATTTGTGAACAAAAAAGTATCAAAGTATCAAATCAAAAAATTTAGAAAAAAAGTATTAAAAATTATGCAATTGTATCAAAACGGCAACTTTGGTGGTGTTACTAGAATTCGCCGCGGTCCTTCTGAATGACGAAATGATGTGTTTATCGTATTTTAGGGTACTTCTTGCCGTCATTGTGCGTATAATTTGTTGTTCTTATTCTTGATTTTGCTCAACCGGTACCACCTTGTATAAATTCGCCATATTCATTACTTTGGTAAACACGTCAAACAAGAAGCAATTCCAGATTTTTTGCTGGAAAACTACATACACATACATAAGTATACATATGGAAATGTATTTATTTAATATTTGTTTAAAAGAAAAAATGCCAGTTATAAAAACTTTTTATGCAGTGGCAAGTTTTGAGAAACTTTGCCAAATTACATTAATTTCACTTTTTGCAATGTTTTTAGAGTTTTGTACCACGGTTTGTTTGTTAGGAAAAATATTTTGGTCCAATATTTTCACAAAACAATTCACGTTCACGATTTATTTGCTAATATTACGGTTTGTTCGTCATCGGAAAGCATACTTCCAAGATCGTCTTAAATAACCTAACGAAAATGTTATGTCCGGGAACAAGTTCTTGGACTTTTCCTTTGCACTCCCTGGCGGCAACAATGATCCGCTTCGATGGTGATTCTGTCCTTTAAACTGCATAGTGTAGCTGGTGGCACTTTCAAAATGGGGGAGGAGTATCGTTGGTCCACAGAAATCCAATATACATACACTTATTTCCTACGAAATAAAAAAGGGGGCGGAAGGATTTTTGCGCAGAACTTCTTACTAAGTAGAATTCTCATTTCTGTGTTGCGAGAAAATTAGGGCGGAAGTATTTTTGAATTGAATCACGTGTGACGATAATTGTCTTACGATATCCTGTTGGCGATTGTCTTGCTTCATGGAAACCAAATTTTTTTTGATCTTTTGTGCGATATCGTAAACTCGATTCCAATTTTACTTCACGTAACGGTTTGAAATACCACGTAGTATTAAATAAACGTGCGTTCTTTTTAATATTTTTGTTAAGGCAGGAATTGAAAATAATGCTTTAATCGTTTATCTTTCCAAGAAAAAATATCTGCAAATACATTTTTTTATATTGTTCCTGACAGTCATTTCAGCCAACTTGTTCAATCAATTTGTTTGCCTCAACTTAAATTCCGGCATTATTAATATACATACATATATCCTCCTTGGATTCCTTAACGAAAGTGGCTATTAAAAGTTGACTGAAAATTGCATTACCGAAAGGAACTAATTATTCATAATTTTAATGTTTCAATTAACCACCGACATAAAATCAGAGATTTGGTCACTGAAACGACCTATGTTATGGGATTTTTTGTTAACTAAAACTCACCACTGCAGGACCGTGATGTTGTCCTTACCCGTAGAGAGGTTTCTCTCTCTCTCTATCAGCAATTTGATATGTTGATATTTACAGAAGGGCGTTCCGGTGGGTAGCTGAACCAAAAGAATAATTTGAACTAGAGTGCCAGTTACTGTCGAAATTCGACAGTTTTTCTAGTTTTAGAAGGCTTGGAGAGGTTTTCTAACTTAACACGTAGCGATACTTATACGGTACAAATTAACTAAGCGGAAAATCTTCTGCTAACACGTAACAAATTTTCTTTTTTATCTGAGAAGGTCATTTGAGGACTTCGGCAGGACTTGGAATTGACCCGATACATTCAAGTTTATCGATAAATTTCAATGATTTGATACATATCGATAGTTCGATGAATTTCAAGAACAATAAAAATTCGATAACTCAACAAAATTCGTTAACTCGACCAATTTCGATAACTGTGAAATTCGATGGCTCGATAAATTTCGATAACTCAAAAATGTAAAAACTTTGGATACCTTTATAAATTTTTACTTTTGACATCTCCACATTTCTCGAAAACTATCTAAACATTTTGATAACTCGTTACACTCTGTTAAGACGAATAAATTCGATAAGCAGTGATAAATCGATAAGCTTATATAACGTTGAAATTTCGATAAATCGATATATTTTGAAAATTCCATAAACTTTGCTTTGTTGAACCAACCAATTTCAGTAGATCAATAATTATAATTATGCATTACGACACCTCGATATATTTCGTTAAGTCTATAAATAATGATAATTCAATAAATATCGATAACTTGATACATTTCTTTAACTTGACAAATTTCGTTAATCCCACACGTTTTTATAGCTCGATAACTATCCGTAAATATGGACAACTAAGTTTCTGTGTGTATCAATTTCGACAACTCAGTAACCATTGATCAGTTTGAATAGTTCGATACGTTGCGATAACTTAATAAGCATGGATAAATTTCGATAACTATAAACTTCGATGATTCGATAAATTTCAGTAACCTTTATGGCTGATTTTATTTCGATTCCTATCTTTTAACCTAATTCTTATGTATTTCTCATTGTCTCCATTTTCGCCTTTATCTCAATTTTCGTCTTTATCTTCACTTTTGCCTTTTTTTGTCTTCATCGTTATCACTTGTTTCTTCATCTTCACATTTGTATTTATTTCAAAGTTTAATTTCAAATACGAAGTAAAACAAAATGCGAAACGCTTGAATTGAACAGGTTGCAAAAACAATCGTTAACAAATATGGAAATTTTTAAACGACGATTTTCAACCAATTTCGAAACTATAAAAACTCTCCTCATCTACAGAAAATTACTTTCCAACGGTGTTTCTGGTTTTGAAATCGGTAACTTTACCTTGGTCTTCATCTTTGTCTTTATCTTTCACATCTTTGCTTATATCCTTTTCTTTTTCTATTCACGTAGATGAGATGAGGTGCGATGACGTGATAAGATGTGACGTGATTTTATGTGATGTGATAGGATATCATGTCATGTGTTGTCATATCCTCTGATGTCATGTCATATGATGTCATACCATATGATGTCATATCATGTGATGCCACGTCATGTAATGCCATGTCATGTCATACGATGTCATATCATGTGATGTCGTCATGTGATGTCATGCCATATAATGTGACATTATATGATATGTCATGTCACATGATATCGTGTGATGTGATATCATATTATGTGATGCAAAATCATGTGATGTCTCTTCCTATCATGTGATAAAATGTGATGTGATGTCATGTAATGTGATCACATTCCATGTTCCGATTAGTGTATCGATAACGCTGTTGATAACTGTGTTGATAAAAATACCGATAACAATATCCATACACATATAGAAAAATACAACGATTGTAAAATCGATTAATTCAGTGATAAATATAACAATCATCAGTATCAGTATCATAACAATATATCGTTGGCTTAGTTCGCAAACGTGCTAAGTCCACTTTTTATGTAAATTGAGATTTTGATGCAGTAAGATAGCATAACTGAAAATACATCATTACCAAAAAAGAAAATTACCGTAATGTCG